GTGCCGAGCCACCCCTGCGAGTCCGACAAGCAGCCGCTGAGAGGGAGGACAGGGACCGAGGAGAGCACCGAGGACGACACGGAGGGGAAGCGCTCCTGCTCCGAGGACCGTGATCTGCACGCCCCCCCCGCGGTGTTCTTGCCTCGATTCGCTGCGCCTCGCCGCGAGCGTTTCGAGGGTGCCCGAGTCGTCCAAAGCGGCCGCCAGAGACTTCTGACCCCCCAGCCGACCTCCCCTTTTGGTCCGCCGGAGGCTCCCCGGCAGTCCCCTTCTGAGCCCATGCGGCGTCTGAGTTTAGGCCCGTCAGGCGCCCGAACGGGCTCAGTTTCCTTCGCCTTATTGGAAGTGAGCCCGTTCGGCTGCCCACTCTGCGGCCGAGCGGGCTCAGACGTCGAATGGGCTCCGAAGGGAGCCCTGGGGTCTGGGGTCCCTCTCTGGTGCTCGCGGAGGCCACCAGAGTCCTCAAGAGGACCTCTGGGGAGGACCTCCACAGGACCTCCGGGGGCATCGCCGACCCGAGAAGCGGCGGGCTGGAGCGGCGGCCAAGGAGGAGGAGAGGGCATCTTGGAGTTTCTGGTCTTGTCTGGCCCGGGAAGTGGGGACGGTTTCTTTGGCCCTGCGTGATACACTGCAGTCAACCCGCATAGGAAGGATGGGCAACCTTCCCAAGTGTACCCTTGCATCCTTGCCTCCTCGGTCCATTCTTCCCAGCTTTCGCTGGCCGCGCCCCGCTCGAAAAGCTTCGAAATGGGCTTCCAAGGCCCTTGCACCCTTATCGCGCATCCTTGCTATGCTGGTTGACTGTACTCCCTGCGGAAGGTGTGGGAGGCAATGTTCAGGAGGGGAAAAAACACGCAGACACAATGAATCGTCCACTCCCAGGAAAATATAGGAAAATATGGGAAGTAGGGGGGAGACACAAATTCACAAAATATGGGGAATCATCTTATTTGTGTGTATTTATTTGTGTGTCTTGGGGCCCCTGCAGATGTATAGAGCGCAGTGCAAAACAGATGACTCCCTGCGGGAGCGGGTGCCGACCTTCCTGGAGGAGGCTGCCTCGGGGGTCCTCCCCGCCGACCCCCCGAGGGGAGTCGGGCGAAAGAGAACGGAGAAGGCGGACCCTCCCTGAGCTTGCATCGCTCGGACGTGTGCATTTTTTTTTTGCGAGGGCCATCGAGGAGCATCCTTGATCATTTGGCGAAAAAACCACGCACGAAACCGAACAAAAACACAGGGAATGGACGTCCGAGCGATGCCAGGTGGGAGGGCTGAAGGAATCCGACCAGCCCTTTAGGACGTAGGTGGTTTAGGGTGTTTCCTTTTCCACGCCCTTCTTCCCCTTCGGGGAGCGGTTTATCATTGTTCCCTATTAGTATACACCCCCTCCCCCAGGCGACTGGGAGCCAACCCGAGCCGATGAGGGCTCCCCCCACCATCCCTTGTAAAAAACCATACAAAGCACACTCTGCCTCCAAATTCGGAGCATGCGCAGCGAACCCGATGCGGCCTCCCCCCACCATCCTTGTTAAAAAACAATGCAGAGTACATTTGGCTGCGGCGGCGGCTGCGGCGGCTGCGGCTGGGGCAGCGGCTACGGCGGCTGCGGCGGTGGCGGCGGCGGTGGCGGCGGCGGCGGGGGCGGCGGCGGCGGCGGCGGCAGCGGTGGCGGCAGCGGCTGCGGCGGCAGCGGCTGCGGCGGCGGCGATTCGGCAGCGGGGGCGGCCTGCGTGCGGCCGGCGGGCCGGCGGCGGCGGCGGGGCGGCGGAAGCGCCCCAGTTTAGTTGCCATCCAACGAACGACTGCTGAATGTGCTGCGGCTCGGGCCAGGCTCGGGTACTACGTATGTGTTGGGAGGGCGGGTAGGAGTGAGCCAGACGGCTTGCGGGCGGGGGGGGTCTTGACCCCTCCCACTACCCCCTCCCCTGGACCTGGACAGGGCGTTTCGCGAGTCGCTGGGATGGCTGAAGGCATTGGATTAAGTCTCTGGCCCGGGCCTTCCGCACCCTGAAAGAGCATCGGAGCGGCCGGCTCCCCGCAGCCTGGGCTCAAGTCGGGCCTGTCCTTCCACAGGGGGAAGACTCAAAAACAACCCCAAAATAGTTAGGGGACGACGTGTTTGGATTCTCTTCGACCATGTTTGAGCACTTTTTGACTACTCTTTATGTTTCGTCCAAACTCCGCCTGTAGGGGGACTTCCCCGACCCGGCCTCGGCGGCCCGTGTTGGGCCGCAGAGGCCGCACCGCAGACCTTTCCGGAGGCCTCGGCCCACCCGGGGCCCATGACGAGCGCGTGCGTGTGTTCGCGGTGAGGCCTGGGTGGCGTCTGCACCGGCACGTCGCGGACCTGTCTTCCACCACCACCACCACAAGCTGGAGGGGGGGAAGGAGGAGAAGGAGGAAGAGGAGGAGGAGGAGGAGGAGGAGGACGAGGAGGAGGAGGAGGAGGATGAGGAGGAGGAGGAGGAGGAGGAGGTGGAGGACGAGGAGGAGGAGGTGGAGGAGGAGGTGGAGGAGGAGGAAGACCCCCTCTCCCTCCAACTTGTGGTGGTGGTGGTGGAAAACAGGCCCCTCATGGGGGGCGTCTGCACCGGCACGGCGCGGTCTTGGTGTGCAGCTTGGTGCCCTCGCGCCCAGCTCGTGGGGCGCTCGCGGCCCCGTGCCTCTCCAGGGAGCGTGACAGCGCCCGAGGCCCCCGTGGGCCTCGTCGGGACAGCATGCCTCGTCGGGCAGCGTGCCGAAACGGCGGCACGCAAGGAAGACCAGGTGACACCGTGTTCCCTGCGCGGCCCGGCAGGGGCCGCAAGGGCGACGACGACGGCGGCGACGACGGCTGCGGCGGCGGCGACAACGACGACGACGACGACGGTAACGACGACTGTAACGACGACAACGACGACTGTGACGACGACGCCGACGCCGACGACGACGATGGTGACGACGACTGTGACGACGACGCCGACGGTGCCGACGACGACGACGAGTGTGACAACGACGACGACGACGACGACTGTGACGACGCCAACGGTGACGAGAACTACCACGACAACGACTACGACGACCATTACGACGGTGACGACGACTGTGACGCTGACGACGACGGCGTCGACGGTGACGACGACGATGACGACTGCGACGCCGATTGTTACGACGACGACGGCTGCTGTGACGACCACTGTTACGACGATGACGACTGTGACGACGATGACGACGACGGTGGTGTTGACGATTGTGGCGACGACGACGGTTGTGACGACGACGACGATGGTGAAGACGACGACGGCGACGGTTGCGACGACGACGACGACGACGACTGTGACGACCATGACGACGCCGACGGTGACGACGACGACGACTGACGACGACGGTTACGACAAGTGTGACGACGACGTCGACGACGACGACGATTGATGACGACGATGACGACGACGACGCTGACGGCACGACGAAGAGGGTGACGACGACTGTGACGACGATAATGTCGTTGACGACGGCGACGGCGGCGGCGACGACGACGACGGCGGGCGACCACGATGACGACGACGACGATTGCAGTGACGACGATGGTGACGACGACTGTGACGACGACGACGACGCTTGTGACGACTGTGTCGACGACGACTGTGACGAAGACGGCGACGACTGTGACGACGACGACGGCGACGACTCTAACGACGGTGACGACGGCTGTGGCGACGACGGCGACGGCTGTGACGACGACGACGACGGCGACGGTGACGCCGACTGTAACGACGACGACCACGACGACTGTGACGACGACGACGACGACGACGACGACTAAGACGACTGTGACCACGGCGGCGACGATGACGACGACGATATGTACGACGACGACAACTGAAATGATGACGACGACCACTGCGACGACACCGACGACGTGATGATAACGATTGTGACGACGACGACGGCTCTGGCGACGACGACGACCTTGACGACGACGACGGCGACGACGATGTCGACGACGATGACAGTGACGACGACTCTGACGACGACGGCGACGACGAAGACGCCGACAGTGGCGACGTCGATGACGACGATGACGACTGTGACGACGACGTCGACGACGACGGTGACCACGACGACGACGATAGTGACGACGACTGTGACGACGACGGCATTACAGACGACTGTGACGCCGACTGTTACGACGACGAGGATTGTGGCGATGACGACCACGACAACAAAGACGATGATTGTGGCGTCGCCGGCGGCGACGACTGTGACGACGATTGTGACGACGACGACGGCTGTGACGACGATGGCGACGACGACGACGACGACCGTGACGACGACGACAACTGTGATGACGAGGGCGACGACGATTGTGACGACAACGATGACAACTGTGACGACGACGACGACGACTGTGACGACGACGACGACGACGGTGACGGCGACTGTGACGACGACGGCGACGGCGAGGACGCCGACGACGACGAGGGTGGCGACGACTGAGACGACGACGACGACTGTGTCGACGAGGATTGCAATGACGACGATGACGACGAATTTGACGACGACGATAACAAAGACGACGACGGCGACGACGATTGTGACGACAACAACGACGTCTGTGACGATGACGACTACGAGGACGACGACGGTGACGGCGACTGTGACGACGTCGGCGACGGCGACGTCGGCCGCGACGACGACGATTACAACGACGACGATGGCGACGAGTTTGAATACGACGACTGTGACGACGACGATTGCGACGACGTTTTTGACGATGACAGTGACGTCGACGATGACGATGACGGCGACGGCGACGACGCCGACGACGACGAGGGTGACGACGACTGAGACGACGACGACGACGGTGTTGTTGCTGATGATGATGATGATGATGATGATGATGATGATGATGATGATGATGATCATGATGATGATGATGATGATGATGATGATGATGATGATGATGATGGTGGTGACGACGATCACGACGGGTGTGACGACGACGACGACGTTTGTGACGACGACGTCGGGGACTGTGACGAGGACGCTGACGACGACGCTAACGACGACGACGGTGACGACTGTGACGACGATGACGACGACCGCGGCGACGGCGGCGACGACAGTGACGACGACGAGTTTGACGACGACGACGACTGTGACGACGACGACGACGACTGTGACGATGACGACGCTGATGACGACGACGCCGACGAGGACGCCGACGACATCGGCGACGACGACTGACGACGACGACGACGGTGTTGCCGACGACGGACGACTACGGTGACGATGATTGTGACGACGACGACGACGTTTTTGACGCTGTCGGCGACGACAATGACGACAGCGACGACGAGCCCGATTGTGACGACGACGACGACTGCGCCGACGACTGACGACGACGACGGCTGCGGCGACGACGACGAGGAATTCACGACGACGACGGCGCCGACGGTGACGGCGACGTTGACGACGACCACGACGACGAAGATGACGTCTTTGACGACGATGGCGACGGCGAAGAATCCGACAGTGACGACGACTATGACGACGAGCACGACGACGACGACGCCTATGACGACGACGACGACGACGACGACGACTGTGTCGACGACGGCGACGACGACGGTGGCGGCGACGACAATGGCGACGACGACCACCGCGACGACGACCACGGCGACGACGCTGACGACGACGATGACGGTACTATTGTGACGACGATGGCGACGGCGACGGCGCTGTCGGTGGCGACGATTGTGACGACGACTGTGACGACGAATGTGTCGACGTTTGTGACGACGACGGTGACGATACCGGCGACGACGACGCCGATTGGACGACGACGACGCCGATTGTGGCGACGACGACGATAGTGACCAGGGTGACGACTGTGACCACGGCTCTGACGGCGACGACTGCTGTGACGACGACTGCGGCTACGACGACGACAACGACGACAACGACGGTTACGACGACTGAGACGAGGATGACGACTGTGACGGCGACGATGACGACGACGGTCACGACGACGACGACGATTGCGACTGTGTCGACGACCCCTGTGCCGCCGACGACGGCGACGACGACTGACGACGACGACGGCGACTGTGCCGACGACGATTGTGACGAGGACGGCGACGACTTTGACGACGACAATGACGGCGACGACGGCTGCGTCGTTGATGGCGACGACGACGACGATGACGATGGTGACGACGATCGAGACGACGATGACGACTGTGACGGTGACGATGACGGCGGCGACGACGGCGTTGACGCGACTGCTGTGACGCCGACGACGGTGACGGCGACTGTGTCTTCGACGACGACGGCGACTGTGACGACGACGACGACGACGGTGTTGGCGACATCGGGGACGACGATGACGACAACGACGATGACGACAACGACAACGGTGACAACGACAACGACGACTGCGACGAAGACGGCGATGCCGGTGACAACGACCTGTGCCCACGACGACGACGATTTTGACGGTGACGACGACGATTGTGACGACGACTGGCGACGACGTCTGTGACGATTTTGTCGACGACGACGATGACGACGTTTGTGACGACGACGACTAGGACGACGACGACTGTGACGACGACGACGACGGTGACGACGATTGTGACGACGACGACTTTGACGATTCAGGGCGACGACTGTGACAGCGATGACGACGACGCAGTCGACGACGTTGATGACTCTGACGACGACGGCGACGGCGACGACGACGATTGACGCTGACGACGACGACGTCGATTGTGACGACTTCTTTGACGAAGACGACGGCGACGACCACGACGACCGCAGTGACGACTGTGACGACGACTTTTGTGACGATGAAGACGGCAGTGACGACGACGCCGACGAAGATGACGACGTCTGTGACGACGACGACGACGATGACAATGACTGTGGCGACGACGGCAACGACTGTGACGACGTCTTCGACGACCTGTGACGACGATTACGACGACGACTGTGACGATGACTGTGCCGACGACGCTGACTATGACGACGACGACGACGACGACGACTGTGACGCCTGTGATTATGCCGTATGTGACGACGACTGTGACGACGACGGTGACGACCACGATGACGACGGTGACTGCGACGACGACTGGCGGCGACGACTTGTGACGACGGCGACGATGATGACGACGACGAGTGTTACGACGACGACGACGACGACGACGGCTGTGATGACGACGGCGACGACGACGACGACTGCTACGACGCCGACGACGACGATGACGACGACGACGGTGATGACGAGAGTGACGATGACGACGGCGACGACGATGACGACGACTGTGAGACGACGACGACGACGACTGTGACGATTTTCGGTGACGATGACGACGACGACGGCGACGACTGTGACGGCGACGACGACTGTGACGAAGACGGCGACGCCGACTGTGACGACGACGATGGCGACTGTGACGACTGTGGCGACGACAACGTCAGCCACGACGACGACGACGAATGTGACGACCACGGCGGCGACGACGACTGTGACGACTGTGGCGACTACAACGATTATGACAGCGGCGGGCTCGACGTGGTGTCGACGACTGTGGCGACGACGCTGGCTATGGCGACGATTGTGACGACGACGACGACAACGACGACTGACGACGACGGCGACGACGGCGTGGATGACGACGACGACTTTGACGAGGACCACGGCGACGAAGACGACGGCGACGACTCTGACGCCGACGGCGACGACTGTGACGACGGTGTCGACGATGACGATGATGGCGACGACGACGACTGATACGACGACTACGACGACTGTGACGATGACGACGGCTCTGACGACGATGACGACGACGCCGACGACGAAGACTTTGACGACCACGACGGTTGTGACGACGACGACTCTGACGACGACGACGATGAGGGTGGCGACGACGCCGACGCCGACGACTGCAACGACGACGACTGTGACGATGACGGCGATTGTGACGACCGTGACGACGACGATGATGGCGACGACGACGACGACTGTGACGACGACGATGGCTACGAAGACGGCGACGACGACTACTAGTGTGACTATTGACGACGACGATGTTGACGAAAATGGCTACGATGATTGTGACGACGACTACGGCGACGGCGACGACGACGATTGTGACGACGGCAGTCATGACGACGATGACGACGACTGTCACGACGACGATGACGACGACGGCGGCGACGACGACGACGGCTGCTGCGGCGGCGGCGGCTGCGGCGTCGGCATCGGCGAGGGCTACGGCGACGGCGACGGAGACGGCAACGTTGGCGACGAGTGCGACCGCCCCGATATGGGAGGCGGCGAGGGCGACCGCGGCGGCTGCGGCGCCCCCCCTTCAGGACGACGAGTGGGAGTCCAGCGTCGCGCCGGGCGTCGGGGGCGGCTTCTCGTACCACTCCGCGGCGTGCGCAGGCCTTTACGGCGGCGCTAAGGGGCAGGGGCGTCGTCGTTGTTGTCGTCACTTCCGCCGTCGCCGCCACCGTCGTTCGTCGTCGCAGCCGTCGAGGCCGCCGCCGTGCCGCCGTCTTCGTCGTCGTCATCGTCATCGTCATCGTCATCGTCGTCGTCGTTGGCGTCGCCGTCACCGTCGTCGTCACCGTGGTCTTCGTCGTCATCGTCGTCGTCACCGTGGTCTAGGTCGTCATCGTCGTCGTCGTCGTCATCACGGCCGTCGTCGTCGCCGCAGCCGCCGCATCCGTCGTTATAGTGGTTACCGTCGTCGCAGGTGTCTTCGTCGTCGACGTGGTCGCCGTCGCCTTCGCTGTCGCCGCCGCCGCCGTCGTCGTCGTCGTCGTCGTCGTTGTCGTCGCGGTCGTAGTCACAGCCGTCATCGTCGTCGCCGTCGTCGCCGTCGCCGTCGTCGTCACCGTCGGTGTTCGTCATCGTGCATCCTGAGGGCCAGTGTGTCCAGGACCATCTGCACCCAGACCTTTGGGGGTCGTGAAGAAGATTCATAACATGCGTTTTTCAGGATTTCGGGGTCCCCTGGGCCGTCTTCGCCCCCAGGCCCCCAGCGCACGCAGAACACAATCCGCAGCGAAGATCTGGTCTCGTGGATGGGGTCGAGAGCTTCGGGGTGCCTGTGCTGTGAACACAATCGCGACGTTGGAGGTTAAGGGCCAATGGGTCCAGGGTCAACCAAGGCCCTCAGAGGCTGACACAAGTAATCGAACTCGGATCAATTGCACTGTGGATGTGTGAACTATGTGGGGCAGGCTTTGTGCTGTAAGGAATGTGGTGCAGAGTATGTGGTGAAAGCTATGTGGCGTAAGCTATGCGGTGCCAGCTGAGTAGTGCAAGCCATGAGGCGAAAGCTATGTAGTGTGAGCTATGCTATGTAAGCTACGCTTACAAAGTCCAGGGTTCGCTGGGGACTGGCTTCCTTTTAAAACAGCCGACACCCTTCCGAAACCCTGCGAAAACCCTCCGGGAAGGCTTCAAGAGCTTTCTCAGAGGGCTTCGGAAGGGTTTTGGAAGGGCTTTCGTCGTTGTGGGCGGGAGACCGGTCCCTGGCCAACCCTGGGCTTTGGAAAGCTACGCGGCGTGGTGCAGGCTACGTGGTGCAATCTGTGTGGCGCCAGCTGCTGTGCAGGCCGTGCGGTCGCCCAGCACGCGCGTCGCCCACGAGGTGCCCCCCCCCCCAGCGGGCACCAGACGAGGCCTCGGGGCGCCCCCCCCGGCGCAGGAGGCGCCCAGTGAGGCGCCCAGGGGCGGGCACCAGGCGACACCTCGGCACACCCACCCACCGAACAACCTGTCCGGGCACTGGGTAGGCTGCGCCCCCCTTTTCCTCCCCCATCTCTGGTGAATTCAGGCTTCGCGCGGCCCGCTCAGCTTCCACCGGAAGAGGTGCGCTCTCGACCCGCGAATCAACACTGTTCGGGCATCTGGGAGCCGAGCGCAGCGCGCCGGGAAGGGTGCGGTGCTTCCTCGAGGCTGCGTCCGGATCCTCGCCTGCGGTTCGGCCCTGTGCTCGAGGCCTGCCGCCGCTGCAGTCTCTGCGGCAGGAGCGTCCGACGGCCTCGCGTCCTTGCCCTGCGTCTTGACTCTTGAGAGTGGGGCATGCCCCTCTACAGGGGGAATATATTCAGAAACAGTTTGAACATAGACAGAAGACGATCCTTGAATCTTTGTTGACCATGTTGGAGTATGTTTTTCTCCACCCACCAAACCACCCCAACCCAACCCGAAGGGTCGGATTTGCCCTCGATTTCTAGTGGGGGGGGGTCCGGGAACGTCGAAAAAACACATATGGAACCCGTACCCCCCCCAACCCGAAATTGGGGTCTTCGGGTTGGGTTGGGGTGGTCTGGTAGGTAGTCACGACCCAACTTTCCTCCTCGCGCTCGACCGTGCTTGGCTTTTGCTGTCACCTCGCCGGCGGGCGGGAGAGCCACGCCCGGCCCGACGCCGCCCAGCCCGACGCCCCCGCGCCCGACGCCCCCGCGCCCGACTCGAGGATCATCGACCCCCCCTTCTCCCTCAATCAGCGATCCTCGATCCTCTACCCTGGGGCCTCCTCCTCCTCCTCCTCCTCCTCCTCCCTCCTCCTCCCTCCTCCTCCTCCTCTCCTCCTCCTCCTCCTCCTCCTCCTCCTCCTCCTCCTCCTCCTCCTCCTCCTCCCTCCTCCCCCTTCTCCCTCGATCAGCGATCCTCGATCCTCTACCACTCCTCGGCAGAAGCGAGCCTCGATAGGGGGCCTCGGGGGGGCCGCGAGGGGGCCCCGCGGGGCGTGCCCGGAGTGCTGCGCCCTCCGACACGCCCGGGCGCGGCCGTCTCGGGACTGCTCTCGTGGCCCGCCCGCTGGACACGGGGCTCGAACCTCGACCTCGAGGCCTGCAGTCGGACCGGGGTGTAAGATCGAGGTTCGAGGTTCGAGGTGTTCGGGTCCGAGCTCTTCGGGCGCGTTCGTCGGTTCTCGGCGGTTTTCCAGCCTCGGGAGGCGTTCCAGCAGCTGCGCCTCGCCGAGAGCGTTCGAGGGGTGCCCGGATCGTCCCGAATGGCCGCCGGAGACCCGAGTTTTGACCCAGAAGCCAGATTCGGCGGCGGACCCAGGTACAAGATCGAGGTCGGTTCGGGGAGGGTACCCTATAGTGTTCTTCGCGCTTGTCGGACGTTCTTGTGCATCCTGGGTTACCCCTAGGAGGATCTTCTGCTTGCTTTGGCCGGCGGAGGGCCTCATGTTCTTGACGGATGCTCTTCTGGCATAGATCGGACTGTATCTAGGGGTGCGGGCTGGGCAAGGTTTCAAGAGCTATCCAGCCGTGGCCGCAAGGGCGCCCCAGGATGCCCCAGAGCGCATCGAAGCCTCGATCGTCGAGCCTCGAGCCCCGAGGCCCGCCGGCCGAAGCCCGCTCGAGCCGATCCCCGTGCCCCCTCCCGGGATCATCCTGGCCAGCCTCTTCTCAGGAGGGGAAAAAACACAGACACAATTCATCTTCGACTCCCCAGGAAAATATGGGAAAATATGGGAAGTGTGGGAGAAGACGAACACCCAGAAAATACGGGAAACTATGGGGAATCCTGTGAGTTGTGCGTATTTGCTTGTGTGTCCCAGGGCCCCTTCACTCAGCCATCGATCCTCGAGCCTCGGCCCTGGAGCTCCGATCTCGCCGAACCTCGCTCCTCGCGCCCCGATCTCCTCGGGCAGCGCCCCTCGGACCTCGGACCTCTGGCGCCCTGCCCGGCGCGGGCGACGACGACGACGACGACGACGACGACGACGACGACGACGACGACGACGACGGCGACGACGATGGCGACGGCGAACATTTGGGGAGCCCCCGAAGCAAAAAAAAAACCCGAGCCCGCCGTGTGAGCGCCCTCGTTTCCGATCCGGCGTGCCGTGCCGGCCTGGCCCGCGCAGGCGGCGGCGCCACGGCGCCGTGTCGTCTCGCGAGAGGCCCGCGGCTTTTCGTCGCCCACGCAGGGTGCGCGCAGACTGAAGTCGGGCGTGTCCCTCTACAGGAGGGACATCCAAAAGTAGTCAAAAGATAGTCAGGGGACGAGTTTTTTTACAACTATTAGTATGACCCCTTCTGCGAATTTCTTGGGCTGTCTTTCATTTCTCGCCCAGAATCCGCCTGTAGGAGGACACGCCCGACCTCAGCGCAGATGCGGCCGGAGGGTCGCGCCGCATCGCCGATGCATCGCCGATGCGGCGCCGATGTGGAGCCCGAGCTTCTGCCACTCCGACGGCGCCGAGGCGCCGCCGGCGTGGGCGAGGCGGCGCGCCCTTGCGCCCCCGAGCGCCCCGAGGGCGCCCCGAGCACCCCGAGGACCCGCCGCCCGAAGGATCGATCCTCGACCCTCCGAAGGGCCCCGAGGGCCCGCCGCGCTGTGCGCCGCACTGGCGGCGTCGACGAGGAGCTCCCCGAGGAGGAGCTCTCGACGAGGAGCTCCCCGAGGAGGAGCTCCCCGAGGAGGAGCTCCCCGATGAGGAGCTCCCGAGGAGGAGCTCCCCGAGGAGGAGCTCCCCGAGGCGGAGCTCCCCGAGGAGGAGCTCCCGACGAGGAGCTCCCCGAGGAGGAGCTCCCCGAGGAGGAGCTCCCGACGAGGAGTTCCCGACGAGGAGCTCCCGACGAGGAGCTCCCGACGAGGAGCTCCCGAGGAGGAGCTCCCGACGAGGAGCTCCCGAGGAGGAGCGCCCGACGGGGAGCCCCCGAGGAGGAAGCCCGGCGCTCGCTCGCTGCCCCCCGCCGCGCGCAGGCGGCCGCGGGGCCCTCGGGCCCGCGGCCGTGCCGCTCGCCCCGGCGCCGGCGCCGCCCCGCGTCCGGAGCCTCTGGCGGGCGACGGCGACGGCGACGGCGACGGCGACGGCGACGGCGACGGCGACGGCGGCGACGACGGCGACGGCGACGACGGCGACGACGGCGACGGCGGCGACGACGGCGACGGCGTTGACGGCGACGACGTCGACGACGACGAATGCCGAGGGAATAGCGACGACCAATGACGAGGACCGCCGACAACGATGACGAGGACGACTGCCGGCGACGACGGACGATTCACGGCGAGCGAAGACCGACGGACGACCAGCGACGACGACGGATGACGACGATGGCGATGTGGAACGACGAACGACGCGGGCCCGAGCTGGGCTGGGGCCGGGGCCAGGGCTGGAGCCAGGGCCGGGGATGGGGGGGCCATTGCCGTGCCCCGGGCTGGGGCCAGAGCCGGGGCCAGGGCCGGGCCGGGAGCCAGGACCAGGGCCAGGGCCGGGGCCGGGGCTGGGGCCAGGGCAGGGGCTGGGGCCGGAATCTGGCATTGCAAAACCGAAGCGTCATATATCTAGTTCTGGCATTTTCCGGTCAGCATCCTGTGATACATACAAAATTGCATGCGAAGTGTTTATCGCGTTTTTTTTAGTCTGCGTGTTCCAGGAGGGTTGGCCGCTGAGGTGGTCGCGGGTGAATGTCTCTCCGTGGTCTCTCTTGGCTCAAGGCAAGCACGGTTCCCTCGTGTGGACCCGTGTTGCTGATTGGTTTGGAGCGGGCGTTGTATTCTACCTCAGTCGCTGCCCTGCCTCACCCCAGTGGCCCGAGGGGCCGCCATGCGACTGTCAGCTCGCGTGCACCACGGTGCCCAGCTGTCCAGCGTGTCCTGGTGCCCCCGCTCTGATGTATCAGGCGTGTCTGGTACCAGATCCGCCACCTCCAATCCCTGAGAGCCACAACATCCTTTACCGCCGTTCGCGGACGTTTCCATGGGTGTGTTGAGCTTCTCGCTGAGCCTTTCGTTCACCTGCGTCGTCACAGGTTTCGTCTGACGGTTCGGCAGCTGGAGTTTCGGTAGGGTCATTGGCAATGGCATCCAGAGTCGTGCAGGTCTGGGCACGGATCTTGTACAGCGGCGACAACGGCTGCACGAACGCCGAATCTTGGGCCGCTTGCAGCTGCTGGGGCCGAATCCAATGGACGCTCAGCCGCTGCTCTGCGCGACCCCTGGCGCCCATGTGCACTCCGAGTACTGGAACGGCACGCGCGCGGACTACCACGACGTCCGACCCCCGCCCGATCGGAGGACGACCCTTCTTGGCATCGACCGCAGCACCATCTACAGGTTCCGCCGTGAGCCTGCAGGGCCTACGGCGGCGGAGGTGGCCACGGTCATCGGAGAGGCTCGGGTTTCGGCCGACCAGCTCTAGAGCCCGATGGCGGTCGTTCCGGCGCTGCTGGCAGCGCCCCCGGCCGCCGGGGCCTTCTTCCCGTTCAGCCCCCCGGCCGCGGCCGACGCCCCCCTGCGCCGCCGGCCGTGCCAGCAGAGGCTCCGTGCGCGGCCGGCTTGGCAGCCGAAGGCGGAGTGGCCCCAGCGGTGGTGTTCAGTAGGCTACCGTCGAGCCAAGGACTCCTGCTGAAATCGCGGCACTGTGGCCGCCCGCACCGGCACGGCTGTGGCGGAAGGCGCGGTGGGCATCCTCACCGCGTCAGCTGGGGCTGCGATGCCCATCCGAGATCTCCAGGCCCGCCCGGTGGCCAGCCACCCCAGCCTGGAGCCTGGAGAGCCATCACGACCTGCGGCTCAACGAGGTGGCAATCATCGGCACCCAGGCCCACGCTCGTGGCACTTTCTCGACCTCCACTGTGCGTCTTCGGCAGTCGGATTTTCCTGACTGGCCCGTGCCTCGCCCGCGCACGGTCACATGGTGTTGCGATGGTTAACAACGTCGACAGGGCGGAACTCTGGAGCACCATCGCTTCTTGGTCATCACGTTTGGACGCCGCTCGATTGAGTGAGGCGTCGAGATTCACCGCGCAGCTGTGAGATGCTTCAAGGAGGCCTACTGTCATAATATCCTCGATGTGAGAAGCAGTGCCATGGTAGAGCTCCTGCTTCGGAAGGCTCAGCTAATGGAGTGCGTGTATCCCATGGATTTCCTGGGCGCTCAGGACAAGGCTGCCACAGGAAAAGGAACTAATCGATCATCGGCTTCCTTGCGGCACGCCATCGTTGATGATAATGTGGTCTTCTTTGGGGTGACGAAGGGCTCGGGCATAGGCATGGCGCGCCCCGACCTTCTCGCCAATACCGCGCGCGGGCGAGCGCGAGAAGGACGCCGCCATCCTTGCGCAGGTCCGCAAAGCTCGCGAGGAGCTGAAGGTGCCCCACAAGCACGCTAGCAAGGCGGACCAGGAACATGGGCGATGAGGGCCCCTTTGTGCTGGATCTCCCCAGGTCGCCCTGCAGTGCGCATCGCTGGGGGGGGGGGCCCTTGGGGGGAATCGTCAGCGCAACCTTCTGCGTCTTTCTCGGCCTCTGCCAGTTTTGACTCGACGCCCAGGTGCTCCAGCTACGCGTCTTGACAAGTCCACCCGTCGTCGGCTTCAGCGCGCCCATCACGTGGGTGTGATCAGCGATGAGTTTGCCAGCGCGAAGAGCGACGTGCACCTTGGCTCTGCTTGCCCGCAGTTCTCTTCGGCCCCTGCTGCTGGACAGCAGGCCGGCGGCCAGCATCGGCCTGACTCGCCCGTCTGTCACCGCCGTGGGGCACCCGCCCGACGACGCGGGCGGCCCCGGGGCCTTTCGAGCGCTTCGGGCCAAGAGCATCTACGACTAAGGCGCCGCGATCACCCCCTACAGCATGGACGCCGTTCACCTGGTTGACCTGCCGCCTCAGGGTCGCGCGTCGCGTTCCCCGAAGCACCTCGCGGGAGACCGAGGCAGAGATTGCATGATATTGTCGAGCAGCTAATTCAAGTGCGCTTGCCAACGTCCACAGGCATGGAGAACGCCGAGAAACGCGGATTCGCGCGTGCATATTCGGGCCCTGCCCTGGCGAATCCCCCATCCTTGTGCGCGGCTCTCCTGCGACGCATGGCTGTTGGTGACCTCTTGGAGTGGCTTCCCTGGTGAACTTGCGGCCGCTTCTGGGCCTAGGAGAGGTCAGGTGACTCCCGGCTGACGTTGGGGGGCGCTTCCCACCCGGGTTTGCTGGGACAGTCAAGGTCGGCTCGCGTTTGCGATGTATCGGCGGGCAAGGCACTTCCATCCAGAAGCGTAGTGGCACTCATGTAGCAAATTCCAAGTTGTGCTCTCTATCTGCGCACCCGTAGAGCCCCGAATTGGCTCAGAGCCGCCGCGGCAGCAGGTGGCGCTTAAATCCATGGAGCTCTGGCCACCATCCACGTGCTTGAGAGTGCGCCAATTGCGGGGCATGTGCATGCGAGGAAAAACAGTGCGCTTCCGGGCGCATTTCGCTCTGGGCGCATTTCCGGAGTCAGGGTTTGATCTCCCCACTTCGCGAGGGGGCAAGCGTCGGCGCGGAGCTTCGGTGCACCGCGGACGCTGCATACATACTCGTGTTCATGTGTTTCAGTCGTGTACTTGGTGCCTGTGCGTTTCTGCCAGTCGTGTTTCAGGTCCTGTATCGTTTCTTGCCAGGTGCATGTATTATCATGCGGGGCTGCGTGCATGCGCATCGCCCTCGGCTTGCGCAGACACGTCCTGGCGAGGTTGCGCTGTGTTCGCGCCTGGCCTCATGCTTGCAGTTACCTTGGGCATGTGAAATCACAGCTTTTCTGGGAGATGATCTCCGCGGCAGCTTTCCTTCGCGCACTTTGTTGCAGGCCCTGGCCCAGCCATTATGCGCGGGGTTCGCGTTGTCGCTGGCGCGCGCGCCCCCGCGCCCCTTTTTGCGCGCAGACCTTCGCCAGTGGTGTTCGTCTTGCACTGGATGCGGTGAAGGCGTGGTCTGTAGAGTCGCGCGTTTGGTCTCTCATCTTGCTGGTGACGATTTGCGCTGCCCTGCTGCGCTTCCGCGATGCTTCCCATCGAGGGATTCGCCGACTGATTTCGTCGGACATGTCATCCACAGCTTGCGCGCGGACTTCCAAATTGCTCTCTGGAGGCCTGGTGGGGGCCAATGAGGAGCAGACGCGCATGTTTGTCAAGCTGGCGTCTTTGCAGTTGCACCGCGCCCTCGGCCGTGGCCCCGCGCGCCGGAAAATTTATCGCGTTGGGTTTCGGAGTTTGTACATTGGCCGAGGACTTCGCAAACGCAAGTCGCGAGGACTTCCTGGGGGGGCGGCCAGGTGTCGTGAGCGCGTGCGTCTATTATATCTGACTGACAAAATGGTTTCTCGGCTCTCGCATCTCGCTATCGCTTTCTCCTTAGCGGCAACGGCCCGGATCTGTTTTGGATTTTTCTGCAGACGGTCAGGACTGAAGCGACCGACGTGGTCGAGGCCGCCCATATTGCTATCGCATCCCCAGCGGCGAATGGCATTCACAACGACTGTTCTTTCATCCCTCGGTCAGTGCCGGCCCCGATGGGCGCCCTCGTGCACGAGCGGCGCCAGCGCGCTGGTCGTGCGCTCCGCCGTGCACGTGCAGCTAGATCTGACAGACAGCTGTGCTGGTCGCGCGTTTCCTTCGTCGCGGCTTTGGGCGCCCCTTGCAGGGGCGCCGCTGGGGCCTTCGAACGCAGAAGAAACGTCGGCCAAGATCGACACCTCCTTCGAAAGTCTTACCACCTGTTGCACGCCATGTTTTTGCAGAAGTTAGAAGTTGTTCGGACATGGCCCTTTGAACATATATGCCGTTGAGAACAGGGCCCTCCTGCTCAAGTACGCCGCGACCCGGGACAATGACATTGACTGGATGAGGCTCTGCGCGCGCGACGTAGATTCCGCGGCGGAGCGTGCGCGCCAAGTATATGATTGTATACAGCTGTTGCCGTATTCCTCTGAAAGGTCGAGGTTTCGATTATCAATGTCGTCTTGGTTGTCTGACTTGTCATTGCCCCGCCAAACCCAGCGCGTTCTTCGCGCCCCGTCTCC